CTGCTGGTCCCAGAATAATAGATTTTATTCAACCAAATAAATCTAAAATACTACCGTTTCAACATATAATCAATACCGAAAAGTTACTCATGAGTTATTTTACATGCTTATTGTTTTCTGACTAAGTCACTGAAACCAACGTGTATTTCACATCTCAAATGAGCCGCATTTCAAGAGCTCAGTGCCACGTGGGGCTGGGGGGTTTGCTACTGAATAACTCAGCTCTAGGGCAGTGGCACCAAACCTTAGGGCCCATTGGAAACCTTTGAGGGCTTATGAAAAGATAAGCCGTCAAAGATATTCGGACCCAAAAATGTAAGCAGACTGAGGAGGGGCTGAGATTCTGCATTTCTAGAAAGTTCCCAGGAAATGCTGCTGCTGCTGCTCTGGGGACACTTGGAAGACCACGGCTCCAGGATGACTTTGAAGGACTTGGGATTATCTTTTTGCCTTATCTACACGTGTGAATCATGTTCTTCACACCCCTCTGACTGGCAGGGTGGGCGGCAGGAGCAGCAGACTCTGGAGAGTGAGCGTGTTGGCTCAGCCTCTGACTGGACGGGCTGCCGGCAGGAGGTGGGCATCGGGATTGTAGCAGCGCTATTGATGGCACTATCTGTGCGCTGGCTCAGAGCCAGAATCTCAGAGGGCAGGAAAAGGGGACTGACCCTAACACCCACCCTGGGCCACCCTCTGCAGGTAAATGCCAACCAAGCCCAAATCCCGAGATGGGACCAGCCTTGGTGGCACAGGCGGTCGCATACTAATCTGCAGTGCTGGAAGCCACATGACTGACCACAGGTTCAGATCCCCAGGAGATCTGAAACACACCAGGCGTGCACACCCAAGATGCTGGCTAGCGAGGAGGCTGGGGGAAAGAGATTGTGGCATGATAAGACCTTGTCAAAGGTTCCACCCCGTTTCTCCCTCCCTCCCTCCCTCTCTCTCTCTCTCCCTCCCTCTCTCTCTCTCTTCCCCCCCTTCTTCCCTCCCTCCCTCCCTCTCTGGTGCTCTCTCATGAAAGAAGTAAAATAAATAAACTTAAGGAAAAAAAGAAAATAAAAAAATTGAGGTGTTCTGGCACAGGTCTCCATAGGTGGAGGTGCTATCAGGGCCCCAGTGGTAGGGAGGAGGGTCGGCGTGGGGGGTGGGGGAGGTTCCTTGAAGCTTAGAGTAGCCAGATAAGGCCAAACAGGATGTGGGAATTGATGTGAACCCAAAGGGTATGGAATCTTAGAAAGGGCAAATGTGGGAAGACCTGCTGAGTAAGGGCTTGGGAAAGAACCAGAGGACCCTGTGGGAAACAGCGTCCTGAGGCTTTGCAGGGTGGTGATCAGAGGTAAGGAAGGTGCTAGAGGCAGGACTGGAAGATAGCCACCAATTGTTGCTCTCCTCTGAGCGTCTACACTGTGGGTGCACACAGTCTGGCATCCTATGAGGCGTATAAAACTTAAGGTGATCTGTAGAAGAGCCAACACTGTGGGACAGTATTCTGTTTTTTTGTTTGTTTGTTTGAGAGTTGTTTTGTTGTTGTTTATTTGTTTTGTTTTGCTATAGGGAGCATGGAGTCGCCAGAAAGACAGAGAGAAAGTGAGAAATCACGCCCCAAGGTGGCCACACCACAGTCCTTTCTCCTTCGTTCTCTTCTTGGGATTTTGAACAAGCATGCACATGCACCTGGCGCGAGTTTCAAGCTTCCGGGCCCAGAACTCAAACCTTGGTCAACCATGTGGGAGTCCAGTGCCTTAACCACTACACCACCTGCAGCCTCGGGGCAGTATTTTCTGGAGAGTCAACTGTGGATGGAAATGCCACCTGCAAATGATAGAATATCTCTGTGGGAAGGGAATTAGAGGGATTTCGGGGGAGCGCGCCCTTAGTGTGGGGAAGCTTGACAGGTGCTCAGGAATAAGCAGTGCAGGGAGAGGCAGGGTCTCCAGCAAAGTGATTGCCACCAGCTCCCAAATGGAGCTGCCCTCGTGGGCTGGTGCCCACTCAGCCCAGCACTTGGGGACCTCCTCTTTAAGGAGTAGGCTTTCAGGGCCTTTAAAAAAATCTTCCTCTGGGGGCTAGCAGGTGGTGTGGCTAAGGTGCTGGACTCCCCCGTGGCAGACCGCGGTTTGAATTCCGAACCTGGTGGCTTACTTTCTCACTTTCTCTCTCTCTCTAGTCTAACTACAAAATCATAATAAAATAAATAAAATAAAATGATTATTTAAAAAGTCTTCCTCTGAACGTGAATTTTATATTTACAGACTTGGGAGGCAACTCTGAATAATTAAATGGATTTGGGATTCAAAACCAGGGGGCAGTGTTGAACTGAGGACGCTGACTACTGAAGCTCACACAGTAGCCCAGGAGGCTGTACCACCCTCAGGAACCACCAAAGACTTTAGCCCTGCCTCTCCATTTGTGAAGGGCATCTCCCTAATGTCACAGGGTCCTACAGGGGCTAAAGGAGACACTGGTAGAATTCGGAGTGCACTAGAGTACAACAGGCAAGGGACGCCCGTGCTTGCTTTGCTGGTGGGTGGAGAACCAAGGCCCCACACTCCCAGCCAACTGCCCAGAAAGACTGGAGGACCAAGTGCGCCTGCAGTTTTCCAAAGAGTAGCCTCATCACTGCATGTTCTGCACTTTTATCCAACTCCACATGTGAAAAATATATACATAGGTTGAACATCCTTAATTTAAAAATCAGAAATCTGGAATCTCCAAAATCCAAAACTTTCTGAGTGCCAATAGGATGTCACAAGTGAAAAACTTCACACTTGACCTATGTGATGTGTCACAGTCAACGCACAGGCACCCTACACGCCTTGTTGACCATCCCCAAGGGATCCTGTATTCATGGCACATGTGTAAATAACATAAAAAAACAATGGCTCAACATTGCTTATCATTGCATATAAATGCAGAGTCAGAAATGACTATGATGATGGGACCAGCAGTTAGCATAATGTCTATGTTGCTGAGCTCCCATGTGGTCGACCGCAGTTCGAGTCCTGGACCTGGTGGCTTAAACTCATGCTGGGCGCATGTGTGTGTGTGCCCAAGATCCCAAGATGGAGGAGAAGGGCTTCTGGTGTGACCATCCCCCCTGGGGGGTGATTTCTCGCTTTCTGTCTCTCTGTCTCTCTCTGTCTTTCTGGCGAGCACACGAGCCCTATAGGAAAAACCTCTCAAAAAAAAAAGAAATGACTGTGATGCCAAACCACCACAGGTTGTCCACACAGGTGGCACCTTTGCTTTCTGATGGTTCAATGCACACAGCTTTGTTTCATATGCAAAATTATCTAAAATATTGTATAAAATTACCTTCAGCCTATGTGTATAAGGTGTATAAGAAACATAAATGAAGTCTGTGTTTAGACTTGGGCCCCGTCCCAAAGATCTCTCTCTCTCTCTCTCTCTGTGAAACACTTCTGGTCCCAAGCATTTCAGATACGGATATTCAACCTGAATTAACTGTGTATCTCTGCAGTGTGTCTGATAGATATGCCCTGTGTATATGGTGGGTATATGTTCCATAGGGTCAAGTTTTTGCTGTGTATATAAAAGGCACAATGGTGAGTCTGGACACGGTGCTATAAGGGAGGGGAATTTTCTGGGAGGGCACTGCTAGGCTGATCTGCTGGGGAACATCTGCTATATGGGAGAGCTATATAATATTTGCAGTTAGTATATTTTAGGTAATCACATGCAACATGAAATGGTGCATTAATATATATACTCCAGGGGGCCAGCAGGTGGCGTGCTAGTTAAGGTGCTAGACTCTCACATGGCTAACCCTGGTGTGAGTCCCAGACCTGGCAGCTTGAAAATCACACCGGACACGTGTGTGCGTACCCAAAATCCTGAGAAGAGAATAGAGGAGAAAGGATGGTGTCATGGCCCGGCAGGGGTGATTTCTCACTTTTCCTCTCACTGACTCTGTTTCTCTCCAGCTAGTGTACAGACCCTATGGCAAAAACCTTTAAACACACACACACACACACACACTCTATGTGTTCCATATCATATCTGTGCATTCACCCTGTAGGTTGGATATATATGTGTGGGACTAGTAGACTCTTAGTATTCCATATGTACGTGATGACTATGGGCTGTGGAGTATATATTGTGTATACTCTTGTGACGGTTATACCCTGTGTGTGTGGGGGGGGCTATATTTTGTAAGGTCTGAGACATACACAGTGTCTATGACAGATAGACTATTTATGATGAGTATACATTGTGGCTGATGGATGTACTGTGGGAGAGGGCTATGCACCTGGTGGGTGCACTGTATGTTTAAGGGCAGATACTATGACAGATATACAGGGTATGTGATAAGTTTACACTGGCTGTGTACAGTGCATTGGATGTAATTTATGAGTAATAAGTATAATAATGGATATACCTTTATGATGAATATGCATTGGGTATGTGTGATAAATATACACTGTTGAGAGTCCAGCAGATGGCGTAATGGTTATATCTCTGGACTCTCACATAGCTGAAGGTGGTTTGTATCCTGGACCTAGCGGCTTGAAACTCACGCCAGATACATGTATGTGTGCGTGCCCAAAATCCCGAGAGGAGAATAGAGGAGAAAGGATTATGGCGTGGCCATTCCTAGGAGGGGGGGGGAGTGATTTCTTGCCTTCTATCTCTCTGTCTCTCTCTGTCTCTCCGGTGAGTGCATGTGCCCCATAGCAAAAGTCTCTCAAAAAATGTATGTATTTATACACACTGTTGCAAACTAAGCACTGTGTGATCTGTCCATGGTGTGTGTATGGGGGGATATTCTGTGTAATGACATAGTCCTGTGGTGTGTGATTTGGTATAGATCAGGCACCCTGTGTATACGCAGCTTGTGATGAGGACATGGGTGCGTGCCTCTCTGTGGTCAGGCAGACGGGAGTCAACCTACAGGGAAGGGGATGGCAGGGAGAAGTTGGATCTCCATCTATTTTAGAACCTTCAGAGCCTTGAGCCCACCGACCACACTGTTTCAGGTTCTTCCTCAAGTTCTTCCTCAAGTGCAACCAGAACTGCCTGAAGAATGCCGGGAATCCCCGAGACATGCGCCGCTTCCAGGTGGGTCTGGAGAGAGGGGTCCACCCTGCAAATCTACCTTTTCCTGAGAGAAGGGGAGGGGAGGAGGAAGGGAAGGCTGTGACCCTGCTTTCCTGGGAAAAGTGCCCAGGGCAAATAGATCTGTACCTCCGGGCCTGGTGCCTGCTGGGGGTGGGGCAGCTCCATCTCAACTTAAGCTGGCTGCCAAGGGAGGCTTCATTAGAGTCCCACTTAAGAAGATGCTAATTGTGACATTTTTACATGATTAACGACCCAGGTAATTTGCATAGCGTGAAGCGGAGAGCAGCTGCCCTTAGCACATCCCAGCCTGCACACCTCTCCCCGTGCAGGGAGTGGGGGAAGAAGGCAGCCCCAGGTTCCTCCCCAGAACAGGGTGGGGGCTCCTGCTGATGTTGACCCCCTCCCTCACCTAAGACCCCATTCCTTCCTCAGAGCCTCATGG